CCGAAAACGTGAACGAAAAAATGCGGACACACAAAACACACACACTTCCATTTTTTATGAGGTATGCCAAAATGTTCAGAAACCTTCAAAACGTGAAGAAATGTAAAAAAACTCATTTTCGATTTTCGGTATAACTTACCCTACGGAAGTTAATAATATAAAATGAATAAGTTGCTTTTTACAACTAATTATAAATAAACTAAAAAATGCCGCCCCAAAATAAGTGCCGCCCGGGGCACTTTTATTAATTGAAAGCAGTGTTCCTTATTGTGCATTTGGAGTCAATTCCTTCATGAGCATCCAATTCCGAGAACGAGCTGAGAGTTCCGGACTTCAAGCTGCAATTGGGCCGCCTTCCAAGCAGATAACCTCAATTGTTCCTTAAAATACTCAATTTTACAAAATCCTCGGAGTAGCCATTGAATCAAAACACAATAAACTATTCCGAAAGGGTCTAATCAACCCCTATACCTAAAATGGCAGTTTTTGAAAGAACTACGCATCCGATTTGAATGATTCAAAAAACTTTCTGCTTGTGTTGACAAAATAACTGCTTTCGCGAAAAAAAATATTTCAATTTTTTTTTCAGAAAATATTTTCTTGTATATCGAAAAGAATTCAGATTATAATTTTAATTCTGGTTAAATTTTTAAAGCTCACTTATATACTTTAAATAAATAATTTTAACTTTGTTATTCAGTTTATATAATTCATATAAATGGGTATGAATAATTGTCGGTAGGTTACTGTTAATAATGAGCACATATCTCGTTACATTTTTTGGATTTCGTATAAAATCCGATCTTTAATTTTTTTAAGTACACTCATATGGTCCATACAAATGTCTTCGACATTTTCTACAGTTTGGAAAACTGGTTTAATTGATTAAAAAACTATTCAGTTCGTACTGACAATCATGTTGGAGGTATGGGGGCAAAGGGTGCAAAAACGATCATGTAGTTTTCGAGAGAACAGATCGTCCGATTAGAATGATTCGAAAAACATTTTGCTTGTGTTGACGGTGTGAAAAATTGCTTCATTTTTGAAATTTTCAAAAAATTGGTTTCATAAAAAAATCAAAATTTAAAAAAAAAATCGAAATTTCTCAGATTTTTCAGAAAATTTAAAAAAATTGATTTCAATTTAAAAAAATATTAGATTTTGAAAAAATTCCAAATTTTCACAAAAAACACTTTTATACACACCTATTGTAGTTCAATTTCATAAGCACTTGTACCATATTCATAATTTGAAATTATTTGAAAAAAAAATATGATTAAGCATTGATCAATTTTTGTTGATTATTAACTTCCCGTAGGGCAAGTTATAGTAATCGCAAAAAAATCGAAAATGAAAATTTTTATATATCTTTACGTTTCAGAGGTTTCTGAACATTTTGGCATACCTTAGAAAAAATGGATGTATGTGTGTGTGTGTGTGTGTGTGTATGTGTGTGTGTATGTATGTATGTGTGTGTATGTATGTATGTGTGTGTATGTATGTGCGGATACAAATTTTCGTCGACGATTTCGGGAACACGGATCAACCAATTTGAATAATTCAAAAAACATTCGATCCGTATTGATAAGGAGACATGCTGATTAGTTTTTGGCAAAGGCAGGTCAAGCCGTTCCGAAGATACGGGGCAAAAAGAACGGTAACTCAGTTTTTAAGAGAACGGATTTTAATAATTCAAAAAACATTTTATTTGTATTGACAAGATGAAAAATCGATACAACTTTCATGAAGGTAGGTCCAGCGGTTTCGGAGATATAGAGGAAAAAGTAAAAAAAAGAGTCATTTGGCGGTCAAAAATGATCATTAGACATATGCACATCAAATTATCAGACATTTTATAGAGATTTTAACAATAAGTATACATTTTGTTAACATTCCTATCGGTTCCGTACCAATGCTTATGCGTTAGACAGCGACGCGGCGCTTACGCGCTTTATATTTTGTCCCTATGTAGTTAAAGCAGTACGATTGCTTTGAAAAAAAAGTTCAGATCTTCCACAATATGTCAAAATAAAGAAAAAAAAAATTTTTTTCAAAAAAAAAAACTTTTAAAAAAAAATTTTTTTTTTTAAATTTTTTTTTTTTTCAAAAAAAACTAATTTTTTGTCCAATTTATAGTTTCTCAAAAATCTTATTTTTTCAAAGTAATTTTTTTTCAAAAATGTTAATCGTTTTAAAAAAAAATAATAATTTTTGGTACGGGAAGTTCCAGCAATTTGCCCTAATGGCACGATGCCCTAATTGCCTTAAGACAGAATTCCACTTACAGCTAGTTAAATATTGTTATTACTCGAACAATTAGTTACGATACGAAAAGTTCCAGCAATTTGCCTTAAAGCCACTAGTTTTTAAATAATCGCTACATATTATCTACCATTACTACCACGATTTCCTGTTCGAGATTGATTTAAAGTGACATGGAATAAAGAGTTCACTTTGCATTATCATTGTTTCTATCATCAACCGATAATAGAAACAATGACACGTGCAATTGAAGATTAGAATATTGAGAAATAAATATGAGAATCTAAAATTATCAACCGCCATTATATGGTCACACAATTTTACCTTTCCTTACATATAATATCACGTACGACTGTTTTCTTATTGCATCGTTTAATTCTCTGATTGAATACTTTTCCCCAAGGCAAGTTGGTGTGCTGAGTTAAACTGCAGCTCGAACATGAAAGTGCAGTGTGAAAGATTATATTCTATTCAAATTTTATTGAAATGTTATAGCGTTGATTTTTACATACTTTTGCACGGAAGGATTAATCAAAAGTAAATTTTAGTTAAAAAAAGTATTTTCACTTTTTTGGCTCTAATTCTGCCAGACTTCTCTTTTAATTTTATGATCTTCCCATAAGAAAAACCTGAATCGGTAATTAAATGGATCTAAAGCTGATAATGATTGTAATTTAGGTAATGAAATACACTCATTTACATATAATTATTACATATTTTCATGTCGTATCTGATATGAGAAATCGTCGTTGCAAAAAGAATTGCGTGTAAATTTCGCTTTGAAGAAAGAGAAAAAAACGTCGGTATTACTTCCATAGTCACATAAAAAACTATTGTTACGATTATTATTTGCGGTTCAATTATCGCAGAGCTTTCTAATGAGAACCGTAAGAATTGCAAGAGTATTAAGAAAATCTGCGATAATGAAGTAGGTTTAAATGAACCACATAATATCGTTTTTCTCAACTAATTCAATTTTTCAATGTCACAAATAAATTGTGATAGTATATAGTATGAAGTATATATATATATATATACATATATATATATATATACAGGGCCGGTCCTGTCTTGCATGCGATGCATGCAAAAAATGCGGGCGCACGCCTTAGGGGGCGCCAAAACGAGTTTCGGAAATTAAATTTATAATATAATATTTATATTTTTTTATATAAAATCTAGAATTATTTGTATAAAATCTAGAATACTTAATAAATTATAATAAACGATCTAACTTAACTAGGGATACGGAGACACAAAAAGCATATTTATTTTGCAATGTGATATCAGTAGAAACAATTAACCGATTAATAACTCTGCAAATTAGTAAATAACTGCTCTGTGTATTGGATAATCTACTTATTCAATTTTTTCTTTGTTTCAAGTTACCGTGGAATCGAAAAAAGAATTATCTAGTGTTCAATCCCTTAAGCGCAAACCTGCGAGAGATTAAATTAATTATTGGGCATTATTGACGAAAAATTGCAAGCTGATTTAGTTTAAACAAAATATAATCGGGAAAATGAAAAATGGGTGCTTAGAAAAAAATGAATTTTAACTTTTGTTTTTGTTGCAATTTTTTTTTCAATATAGTTCTATGAAATGTGTAATTTCTTTGCATTTTTTGCTGATTTCTGGACAATACTTCTAAAATACGTTAAAAATTTAACTTTAAAACAACAAACCCGATACTCTGAATATGACGGGAATGCAAGGATAAATACAGTTCGGCTCTTACGATATCAATAAGGAGAAGTTTACGACGCAATTTTGGATATTGCAAATGATGAAAAATTAAATTAAATTAAAATTTAAAAAATCTAACATGAAATGCGAGTGTTATGATTGAAAATGAAAAACTAGTTTTTTTTAGCTCTCTTGGCATGATTTGCTCAATAGAATAAATCGCGTAATAAGTAAAATGTTTTAAAAGCAAAATATTAATACTGTACATACGTTAAAAATAATTGAAAATTTAAAAACATTTGATTATAATCAAATTTAAAATCAATATATTTTATACGCTTTTAGATTATATCTTATTTATTGTGTACTAAATCCAGAATAATTAAAAATTAATTTTTAACAAATATGTAAATATTTATATGATTTTAATGATAAACTATAAAACAGCTAAAATTAATAGGGGGGGGGGGCGCTAGAAAAAAAAGTTGCATGTAGGCGCTGGGGACCCCAGGACCGGCCCTGTATATATATATATATATATATATATATATATATATATATTAATATACGTTAAATATTTGATTATTTATGAAAAAACGTTTTTTTATTATTCACATAAATAGTAAACTTATTAACTTTTGAATTATTCAAATCGGTTGATTCATGTTCTAGAAATCGTAGCCAAAATCTGTATCCGCAAATACATAAAGCACATTACACACACACCACCATTCATTTTTTCTAATGCATGGCAACATGTTCAGAAGCTTTTGAAATGTAAAGATATATACACATTTCCATTTTCGATATTTTTGCGAACCCTATAACTTACCCTACGGGAAGTTAATTACTAAACTAAGTAAGTGAAGTTACCAATAACTTGTGACAAATTTAAATTTTAAAAGAGAGCATAAATAGTTTGCAAACTTGAAAAACTAAATCTTAAAAAAAATTGGCCTTAATTATATTGACATTTTAATATCAATTATCGAAATACTAATTACCTATCACTTTGGAATAAAGGTTTTTCTTAAGTTAGTTAGTTGACTTACCTCCACTTTTAAAATGTTCTCCTCCTTCCAATGGAATTATAAGTAAAGGCAACACACCACTTAATCCAATTAAAATAGAACCTAAGACCGAAAAAATCCATGGATGATATTGCCAGTCTTTGAAATATTCTGGTATGTATTCCATAACTAAATCAGTGTAAATAAATCTGAAGGCTGAGTCTGACTCCCAAATTGAGGAATTCATTGCCACTACTTTCACTCTCTATCACAAATAACGTAACGTAATTATTATTTAAAAATACTTGTTTTATCATCAGGTTTTTACAATACACCGTTTATGTTGCATCAAAATCCATAAAACAAATGAATCCAATAGAAACACAAGCCTGGAACGGAAAATAAAAAATCGTTAATTTCAAAATTAACACAAATGATATGAGCACGCATTTATATCACAAGAAAATCACATTAAAAACATCTGAGAATGTCACTTAAGGACCAATAGAACGCGCAGTAAACAAAAAATCAAACGTCGTATAGTCGCACCGTTTTTCTTGGGAAGATTCGACGTTCGACTAGCTAATCTGCACTGAGATTGAGCTAGCGTTAACGAAATCATTTAAAAGATTAAAATCAATTTATGGTCGTGCAGAAGCTTTGATGTTATAAATTATTGAAGTCATTGTCCACTTCAGATCGAAATTGTAACGCATTATTCTACGTTTTACGACGACTGTCACCCGCTGTACTACTATGTCAGTTGGTTCGTAGATCGTGCGAATGCGAATACGTCCGTCGTGTCGAGCCTGCGCATACGAAGTCGGAGTTAGTCTATCATAGACACGGGAAGGAAAGAGATGGCCGTAGAATCTCGGACCGACCCAACGACCGATCACGTTTTTATCAATAACCACAGACTGCCAACATGTGCAACTGTTGTTTATGTTTATTTTATGAATCAATTGCAATATTTTCATAGTATTTCGATTGCTAATTTTATGTTTATTCAATCCGATAAGAATAAATTTACATAAATATTTTACGATAGTTTCATCATGCCAAAATAAAAGAATGCTAGTAAATTCATTTTTTGGCCTTCATTTTTGCATGACATATAATGTAATATAATAGCTTTAAGAGTAATTTTAACAAGAAATATCTAAAATGGTAAAAATAATACTAACTTCGTACCTTATAAAAACGAAATTAATTGAGCTAAACAACATTAATTTTAAAAATTAAATATTATTCATCTTATACATCACAAGACTTTGCCAAATTCATAACAGTTTGACATCCAAGACAAAGCAAATGTAAAACTGTTTTGAAACTAAAATGCATTAATTTATTTACAAATGCAGAACATTTTCTTTAATAATGTATTTCGCTATTATTCATTACTGTGCCTTTGCCTAAAACTGTTGAATAGAGTAGATGAAGGATGGACAAATCGCAGTCCGTGGGCTTTACGCGGCCTTTAAATATTTTTCTGCGGCCCACCAAGCATTTTTAAAGTGGAATTTGATTTATATACATTCTTTCTAGGTTTCATTAATTTATGAAATATTTATATTTAAATTAAGTATATTATAATTTTTATTAGTATATATCAAGTTTTGTAAATTAATAATAAGTGAGGCGCGCCAAAAAATTTATAAATTAAATGCGGCCCGCAAGTTGCAAACGTTGCTCATTAAATAAATCTGTGCAGCGATAAGACAGTGTTCTCTTTTCAATATTCTTTGTTAATTAATTTTTAATTTCAATGTATTATCTAATCATTTTTTATTTCTAAATACGGTAAAACGGCCGAGCAATTCGTAAAGTAAAAATTTCTTTGAAAAATAGAGACATATAAAAAACGATATATTACACATTTGGCTAAATATAAATGGCTTATGCTAATTAATATAATGACTTATGCTAATTGATGTAAGGGCTGTAATTATTTGTGATTGTTTGTGGAAGTAACCTGTGTTACTTTACACTTTCGGTCGAGCTCTTGTCGAGTGAAAACCTATTGTTTATTATATGCTGTGAAATATTATTTTTTCTACTTATTTTTTTTTTTTTTTTTTTAAAGTGTTTTTTTCCGATGAAGTGAGGTTTATCTACTAATTGATATAGCAGACATTCAATTTAAGTTTTTAAAGTAAAACTTTTTTAAGCGCGACTAGGGTGTAAATTCGTACAAAAGCAACGGAAATGCATTACGGCAGATAAGATAAGATAAGAGTCGAGTGCCAATGATTCGTCATTTGCTCTCGATGATATCATTTCCATACGGATCGATTGTGATTAGTCGTCGCGTATGTGAATAGAGATATGTATTTGTATGCGTACCGAATTCAACAAGGAAATCAGCATAGATAAATAAATATTTTAAAGTTACATCGTAGTACAAGCCTTGATTTGAGAAATGCCTGAATCAGAAGAATATTTTACTCTATTCTTTGAAAATAATAAAACGTAAAATGATAAACGTAAGTTTATTGATTAGAAATTATTTCTATATTATTTGTAGTTTCTATAAATCTTTGAAGTTATTGAAATGGAAAATATTTTTTAGGCAAGACAGATATTAGAGCTGTTCATAGAATGAGATTATATCGCCAGCGAAAAAGTAAAAAAAAAATACAACCAGTCAAGAATGTATGCAATCAACTTCGTAATTAGACGCGACGCATTCAACATCGGCAATGGACTCAACTCCATCAACATTAGCTATGGACTCCTTTCCAATATTAGACTCAAACCCTAATCCCTGACAGGAAGTTTATCACGGCTTCAAAAGTAGAAGAAAAGGCAAAGTTATAAATGATAATATGAAAACAACAAATTAGCGTCCTAAATATTAATGAAACACCCATAACTCAGAATGACAATTTACTTAACATTCCAACAAAAAAAGACCTTCCGCCAATATTTATTTATGGTGTGAAAAACTATGCACAAATGATCGGAAGTATTAATTCCACTTTAAATTCCAACCAGTTTTCGTCAAAAACGATGGCGGACAACAGTGTCAAAATTAATGTGATATATAGCGACTGTTATGGAAAATTAATTCACTACTTACGTGAAACTAGAGTAGTCTTTCATACATATCAGATAAAATCAGAACGAGCGTACAGAGTCGTATTGCAGTATATTCATCATAGTACCAATATCGCAGATATCAAATGCGAAATTGAAAAAAAATGGTTACAGAGTACGAAATGTAATAAATGTTATTCACCAAAAAAGCCGAGAACCACTTAATATGTTTTATATTGACTTAGAGCCACCTAATAACAATTCAGCAATATTCAAGGTAAACAAAATATTCAATCATATTCTGAATCTCAACTCTGCACAAAAGCTAAAGATGCTCCGGATACGTGCTATTTTTGTTGCGGTCGCCATAACTCCAATTACTCTAAATGTGGATACTATCAAAATCTTGTAAATAAGAGCAATAAATTTAATACCGTAACAGAATTTATTTCTAATCCCAATTCAGGTAAACCGTCGGTGTATTAACTCTCCAACTCAGTCATGGATGCACAGAGTCAGAGTCCTTCTTTTTCATTTTGATTACAGGGATACAATCCAAGTACCTCTTACTTGTAAGAGGCATGTTGCTACTACAGCTGTTGCTCCTTCTGCATATGCGTATGCTGCAGCAATGCTCACGAAAGGCCATTTTCACTTGAGATGATATTTGAAATCTATGATTTCAAGTGAAAATTTGGTATCAAGCTGCTTTGATACCGAACCGACCGAGGTTGGATTCGAACCCGGGACTGGGATTTGCTAGCCCACGTTTTTACCACGGGACCACGACCTATTACTCATAGCCCGTTAGGCAACAACATTGTATGAACATAATGAAGACAATAATCAAGTCAACAATACGTTATCAACTCTACTCAAAGAATTCACAACTATGTTTTAGCAAGTAGGGACCAGCGGTGGCGATATCGGTTAGAACGTGGGCTAGCACCAACTAGTCCCGGGTTCGCTGATTCGATTCCCGCTACGCCAAGCCCGACATCAGGCAACTTTGATGTCAAATTTTCACTTGAGTTTATAGATCTCAAATATAGCCTCAAGTGAAAATCGCCTCTCGTGGGTACAGTTGCATATGCAATAAAAATGTCAGCAAATGTCGAGTATAGATAATTAGTCATAACTGAACTGAACAACTACTGGGTTGCCATTCATTCAAAATTCATATATTTTTTTTTTTTTTTTTGTTACAATTTATTTTTGTAAATCAAGACTTTAATGTCTTATTTACAAAATTGATATGAGCGAAAAAAAAAATACAAAAAAAAAAAACAAAAAATGCAATACATTGAATATAAAATGAAAAAAGTTAAATTCAAAATTCATATAATAAGAAAAAGTCAAAACAATTACTGAATGTCCTAAGTGTGACAGATTGTAATTAAAATAAAGATAATAATAAATGTTTTAGCAAGTTATGCAATAAAATGGCATAATAATAAACATGCTTTCTATTATTTCTATTTCTTCTATCGATTTCCGACGTATTATTTCTATTTCTTCTATCGATTTCCGACGTTATTTTGAAAAAATGTAATTACAAAATTGAGAAGGTGTGTTATCCCCCCGGGGGGTGATGGCGCAACCCGAATTGTTTTCACTTTTGAACTTGAGGGTAAGATGAACCTAATTCCAAAATTTCATTCAATTCGAAGCACAGTAAAAAAATTCAGAGGTTATACCCTTTTTTCCTCTCCGTTTACTGCACTAACACCAAGAAATTGCGCAACGTTTAAAATTTGATTTATTTCTACAAACTTCTCTAAAAATTACGAACGCATTAAAATACAACCGAACACGTAAATAGTGGGAGCTACTCGCTTGTTTTTTTATTAAATATTATTAAATATTAAATAAAAATTGTAAGTTGGGGATCGAATACGCTTTCATCATTGTGACAAATGGGGTTGAAGCCCCTTCTTGGGGTATGCAATGGCTGCCAAATACTATATTTTAGCCTTGCAACCCCATTACGAAGGGGTTACTTCAACACTCCAATTGCCCGCTAAAGTACCTGTAACTACCTGTGGGGGTTAGTAGCTACTATACGAATGAAACTAAGATTACTTTTATAACTAAATCTATTTAAATTGTGGGAGATTGGCAGGTTGCGTCAATTTTAGTAAGCGAGAGAAAAAATAATAATTAACATTGAGTTTTGTTGGATCATTTGTTTGGAACAATGTAAAGTTTTGGGTTCAGATAAATTTATGAAATTTATCACGGTATAAAAGAATAAATATTTTATAATCGGTAAATTGTTTGATTTCCGATAGTGGTGACCCCGACGTGATAAACGCTCCTCTAGCTATAGTTTGTGATGCTTCCGACCACACTATAGGAGCGGCGTTGCAGCAACGAATTTATGGTGCATGGGGCCCATTAGCTTTTTTCTCGAGAAAATTGAATGCAACAGAAAGAAAATATTCGACTTACGACAGAGAACTCCTTGCAATTTACGACGCTGTAAAATTTTTTAGACATATGGTAGAGGGAAGAGAATTTGTGATATATACTGATCATAAACCTATCACTTACGCGTTTAAAAAGAAAGATAGCCAGTGTACGCCGAGACAGTTTCGCTACCTTGATTTTGTTAGTCAATTTTCGACCGACATCAGACATGTATCGGGTCAAGATAACGTGGTAGCAGATGCTTTATCCCGTATAGAGATAGTTAACAAATGTGATCTAGATTTTAAGGCGATTGCAGATGAACAACATAAGGATATAGACATGGCACAACTGTTATTACGTTCTGACCATTCTCTTAAATTAAACAGAA